AGTGTATTGTGTCGTTTTAATAATATAATAATCTTTAAAGCTTAAAAATGAAGAAAAAAGAAAAATATGTCAAAGCATGCATGTATGTCAACATCAGAATAAGGGGCAATCGACATTTCTGGATATGAATGCAAGCTTTGACAATTGCTAAAATGTCCGAAAAAACAGGGTATTACTCTCAGGCTCGGCTTCATCAAGAGTACCACTATCGCTAGCCTTCTAGCCGCCTTTCAAAGTTTGGTTGTGGCCTGGCCAGTATCTGCCAACGACACAACTTCAAATGCAAATGTGCTGGCTGGGGAGAGGCCTGCAGGCTGTTGTCGATGGCGCTGATGACGCAATATCCGACTGCAGCAACGCCTGACATGGTGCCACAGCTAGACAAGCTGCAAATGTGATTTTGAGCTGTCGTGGTGTATGGTACAGATTAAGCAAAAGTAAAAAAGTTTGTCTCTGGGATTCTTTTCTTCTGTTATAGCTGCGTTCTAGTTCGCTTCTTTGGCGAGCGTACAAGAGTGTCAGGTGAAGCTACGGTCCCCTTTGACACATTCCGCTTGAGCGGCGATGGCTGATGCGGGGCGTTCTTGGCCGACGCCACGCCCAATGACGATGGGGCAGAGGACGAGCTGCTCGACGTAGCAGGCGTTTGGCCAGGCAGCGGCCACTGGAACGGGCTTGCTCCTTGGTGGCCAACTATAGGCGTCGACCCAAACTCCATCGGGCTGTAGTTCTCGTTTTGCTGGTACACGATTGGCTGGAATGACGACGGCGACGGCAGGCTCTGCACATACTCGATCAACATTGCTGTCTGCGGGCCCGGCTCGGCTGCCCCAGTGCTTGCAACCGCTCGTGTCGCCGTGTTGACCGCCAGCGGAAACCGCCGCGCGCGTGGGGGACCCTTTGTCCCTGCAGGAACAGCGGAAGCATCGCCCCGCGTCGATGCCGTGTCAGGGGTGCTGGCTGTTGTCGGCCGACTGCTGCCCGTGGCCGATCGCCGCGCAACCGACGACCCTGCGGTGTCGCTACGCGCCCGCGTACCATACGGGATCTCCACTTGAAGACGCGGCGGATTCGGCCGTGCCCCGGCATCAGTGCATTCACGCTCGCCGTCATTTGCGCTTGGCGGCTCGTCGTCGCTGGCCGCAGCTGCGTCGGCTTCGCCTGCTGATTCGGGCTGCTCATGCGTGTACACTTCCTGGTCCTGGTCAAATCCTTGATCTTGGTTAAACTCTTGGTCCTGATTGAACCCTTGATCTGCGCCTGGCGTGTTGTATGCGTCGCCCTCGTCCTCTGCAATCGTCTGCAGCGACCCTGGTTGTTCCGCCATAACCTGCTGCTGATAGTGGTGGCTCGTCTCGATCGCCTGCGTGCTGCCGTCAGGCATGCGGTACAACATGTACTGCGGCGTTGATGGAGGGTTGGCGCCTACCTGCCCAGCGCCTGTCACCCGCGAACGGTACGAGTCCATCGAGCGGCCCAGCACCTGCCCTGGCTGGTATGGCTGGCTGATCGAGTACATCATCGACGCCGACGGTGCAATGCCGTCAGGTCCTAGCGCCACCGACACCCCTGGCTGACCTTGAGGCGACGGATATGCGTTCAGCTGCTGGTATGGATATGCGCGTAGCATCGGCGGTGCATATGCAAACTGCTGCGGATGCTGATGATGTTGCTGCTGTTGTTGCTGCGAGGGCTGGATGGTGGCCTGCGGCTTGACCGACGACAGCGCGTACGGGTACGCAGACATGCTTGGTGCAAACGCTCCTGACGCCATGACGCGCGGCATGTGCATTGCCGATGTCGGCGTGGGCCCTGAATAGTACATGGCGTTGCCTGCTGCGTCCAGCTCACCTTGAATCGGCGAGTACACAGTCGGCATCTGCGGTGTCTGTGGTGCCATGTACGCTGGCGCCATTGGCAACCCTGACATCTCGGCCGACGCGCCAAACGGAATCCCCGAGTCTCCGTACTGTGACCGTTGTCCTTCGTTCACGTGTGGCGATCGCACCGACGCTGCTGCAGCCGCAGCTGCCGCTACAGATGAATTGGGTCCGTCAAACTGCGACGCAAATTCGTGTGCCTGAATACTGGGTGTCGATCCGTGGTGGCCCAGCGATGGCGCGCTCTGCGGCTGCACCATGTCGTCGTCTTCGTGTTCGCCGTCGCCGTACATTGCTGCGCACTGGGCATTCGTCAGGCTTTCACTGGGCTCGCCAAAGTCCGTGTACCGCATAAGCACCTTGTCCATGTTTGTCGACGCATACTGCACGAGTTTGTTCTGTGAGCTGAATATCACCACTGCAATCTCGCTGTCGCACAGCACGCTCAGCTCGTACGCCTTCTTCAGCAGCCCTGCCTTGCGCTTGAGAAACGTCACTTGCCGGTTACGCTCATCCTTTATCGTTTGGATCTTGATCTTTTTACGCCCCATTCTTTATATTTTCTCGTTGATGCACGGGGTTTTGAATCAATGCCAATAAAATTATGGCCCGAGAAATCAACTAAAGCGTTGGAAAAGGGGGAGGGGAAGGGCTCACGGAACGTTCTGTGCGTAAAGCAAAGGTCGAAACGGAGCTTATTTAGATCTTTCCCACCCCTAAAATTAAGCACTAAAGATTTATACGTTTATTCTTGTAGCCGGGGAAGTAAAATTAGTGACCCAAACTAGAGAATAAATCTAGTGTGCAAAATAGACAGATAACAAAAGGCAAAAAGGGGCTCTCAAAGCACTAGAGAGAAGAGGAGAAAAGATGTGGTTCGTCCTGTCTGCGTACAGAAATAGGTGAAAGAGTGTAAATAGAACAGGACAAAAAAAGATGCTGTGGAAAAATAAAGTGGATTTACGCCAGGAATAAATTTGTGTGCAAAGAAGAAAGAGCGGCGTAGGCTAAAAATACACTTGAAGTCTCAGGTGATTGGCCACCGGACTTGAGCCGGCCTTTGATTTCCCCACCGGCAATGTAAATCAAGAGTAGCTTTAAATCTAATCAGCATAAAATTATGCCTTGAACTCGGCGTCGTCGTCAGAGTCGCTGGAAAGTGGGCGTGGGCTGGAGAGGGATACCTTTGGCGGCAGAAGGCGGTCCAACACTAATTGTAATGCATAGATGATATAATAGATGAGCACTACGGCGGCTAGAATACCAATGGCGTATACCAGAACCATCCAATGGTGCCGATCATAGTCGATAAAGTTGTATGTAAACCACCCGTTAATGGCCTTGTTTAGATATGCCAGCGCAAGATACAGCGCAACCACAAATGCCAAAATTGCAGGATGAATCCAATGCGGCGAAAGCACCATTGACCCGGCCACCACATCAACCAAAATACATCCAAGGTTGGCTGCATGCACCGACGCATTTAGCCAGCGGTGCTCTCCGCCCACATATGTGTCTGCGTCGTACAGCACAGCCCAAAACACCGGGGTAACCAGCATTGCAAATACCACAACCGACTCGAATAACAGCCAATGGAACAGCTGCAATGTTCGCGGCATGCTTTGAAAGGACACATGTGTTGAGCGCCGCCAGAACAGCACTGTGTGGATTAGCGAAGACGCCATATACGCGACCAATCCTGTGTAGCAGAGATACGTAAAGTATGCAAAATGCCCGCTCATCGCACCTGTTTGCACATCGTACACAATAGTTACTATCCACACGGTCAACGTGTATAGCAAAAGAACAGCTCGGACGAGTACTAGACATCCAGTGTTTACTAGTCGAGGTGTAGAAACACGTCGAGCATCTAGCGTATGCAACCGACAGACCCGATGCCACCGCCGAAACTCGTGCTTTTCACTTGTATAAAACATCAAGGTAATATATAAAACAAGAGAAATAGTGACAACCATACAACTCAATTATATTTATACCATCACACATCTTTTGTAGAACAATAGCTTTGAAAAAGCCACCCAATACAATATTTAAATTTTGATCCGTAGTAATCAGCTCTCTCTTTTGTGAAAGTATTTTCTCAATAACAAGAAATGTCTGCAATTGAACAGAAATGGACGGCCGAAGAGCTGGCAAGCGACACTGTTAGCAAAAAGGACCTAGCCGTGTTTCTCCAAGAGAGCGGCAGCAACGAGTTTCTGCTCAAGCACAAGCTAAACGGTAAGCTGCCCAACGTGGTCAAAACGACCAAAAAGCCCCACCTGATATCAGCGTACACAGACTTGTTTGCCACCCAGCAGTTCCGCTCCGCCGACGAAGCATCCGCAACCTCTATCAAGCAAGACAAACCCATTGCAGTCGTAGAGTCAAAGCCCGACTCGGACAAGCCTGAGGAAATAAAATACGTTAAAGTCGTTCTCAAGAAAGGAACCGGAGACCGCTGCCCAGCCAAGGGCGACCGAGTTAGCGTTTTCTACACGGGCATGCTTGAGGATGGAACTGTGTTTGACGACAACACGGAGCACAAGGGCCGCAAGCCGCCCACACCGCTCGTGTTCAAGGTCGGAACGGGCCGTGTTATTCGCGGCTGGGACGAATGCTTGATGACTATGGTTCGCGGCGAGAAAGCCAAGCTGACTATTAAGCCTGAGTGGGCATATGGTCAGCGTGGACATGAAGCCGGTGGTATCCCGCCCAACGCGACTTTGACTTTTACTGTACAGTTGGTGGACATTGCGTAAATAGTTTGTTTAATTGAAGTTGGAGGTTTACTGTCCTGACTTTATAGTGAAACGTTCTTTACTGTGATAAACGTTTTGCAAAGTGCTAGGAATGATTGATTGTGGGGTGTATTCCCATGGTTTTGGTTTTACATATAAGAATGCTGGGGACGCCAAAGTGAAAATTGGGATTCCTTTTCCATCTTTTTCTCTTTAAGCGTTCTTTGTCTTCTTTTTTGTCACCTTCAACTGCTGTTCCGATTTTTATACTTTAAGCAATGTTTGTAGGCGTTCTTTATGCTATTGTTATCTGTACGCATATCCTTTTACCGGGAACATAACTCGCGAGTTGTATGAATTAGCTCAGAAAACGTTGAACGGTGAGATGGCCGAGTGGTTAAAGGCGTCAGGCTTAAGCCCTGATCCCGTAAGGGTTCGTGGGTTCGAACCCCACTCTCACCATTTTTGCTTCCGCTGCAGCCACATCTTTTGCCAGAAACGATGTCCGTTGAAACCGCCGGTTTCGACGGTATATTCGATACAAAAACCAACGAGAAACATGAAATGATGGGGATGTGTAGCTTTTATCACAGCGCAATCCTTTTTCGGCATTCCTCCAATAGCTCGGCTCGATGAGCTGACAAGTCAAGGTTTGGCGAACTGGACCAAAAACTCGCCTTGTCATTGACAGTGTTCATACTTTTGCAACACAAATATGAAATGAGCGGCAGTTTGACATTGTGGCTCCACGAACAGCAGCTCTAGAAACATGCAGTTCTTTGGACCGCGGTTCTAGTGGCACACAACTCTTTCTGTGTGCAAAACTTCTGTGTACACTGCCCTTTAGTGCAAGGCTCTTTTATGCGTCCAGCTCATTGGTACACACGGCTCTTCTGTGCGCACAGCTTTTTGATTGAGCGACTCTAGCAGTGCACATCTCATTTGGTGTGCACAGCTCATTGGGATACGGCTTTTCAGCGCACAGCTTGTTTGTGCACAGCTCTAGTGACACAGCACTTTGTCGCTCATTTATTCAACGTGAAGCACTTTGGCTTGTGGCCCATTGGTCCACGCTTCTTCAACGAGTTGTACTCTTGCAGTGTACTTACTATATATAGTTGAAAATGTCATTTCTCAGATTCTGCTGTACTTTGGCCATTCTATCTATAGAATATAAGAACTGCTACATTGCAACATTGCCTGTTTATGGTATTCAGTGGTCGCGCATCTCAAGATATCACACATGTAAACAAATACAACACGTTCTATTTAATGTAAGTACATTTTTACGTTTTAATTGTTATTTATGACTAGCATCAATTATACCTGTTTGACGACTTGGTGAATATGAATTAGGTTGGGATGCCACACGGGCACCCCAGTGTCAACATACCGTTTTGCTATTGATGGAGTAGGTTTTATTGCTCGGCATTGCGAAAACGGCTGCGTTTGTGTAGAAACAACTAAAGGCTAAGCATAATAACATCAATCAAACTGTGTGTAGAAATACATTTATATGATTCGCAATTGTCGTGTTGACAGCTCTTGTTGCTATTGCTTCTCTCGCTTATGTATTGTGTTCACGATTGCTTGAGCGAGCATCTAAAGACATAAACTGATGTCACAACAAAACATCAAATTATGTATGCTTAGCATTAAACACAGTTGTTATTCCGCTCAATGTATATTTATTGCATGGCATAGGCACATAATGTAACAGCAGAACATTTACTAACTTTAATTAGTTGACTTGCTAATATGTAGCGTCATCAGTGACACGCCTATTTCTATTTTTTCTGAATAAATGGGACGTTGTAGGAATTTACAACTCTTATAAGATTTATAAGCGCAGATAACGCAGAAAAATTCTTACGCAATTTTCAATTCCTAATTAATTCTACTGTTGCGGGAGCCTCAGCCGGGTCTGTCTCCCGACAACTGACTGTCATTTACTCTGCAATGGATCGGTCATCATGCCGAGCTGGTGATATTTTGATCTGGGTTTTGGTGATTACAGTTTATGTATGTTTGGGGAAGCACACTTGGGGAGTCAGAGCGCGCCACAACAACAGCCGTAGCAATAGCCGTAGCGACAGCAGTGCAAGAAAATTTAAATAACAAAGTATCTCAGTATAACATTTAGAAATACTTGTAAATAAATTCTCACTGAATTTTTCTTTGTCCGCCCGTATTAGCTTTTCCTCTGTTTAACCGCCTATTTACTATTTTAACGCCCAAGTAGTTATTATACGTAACATTATCATATTTCTTTTGCCAGCACACATTATTGCTGTGCCGCGTTTTCTGTTCTTTTCTTAGCTGCGCACCTTTCATATACAGCTATCTTTCGTAACAATATCAACTGTTCTTTCTTCATAATTTTTTGGCTACAAAAGTTCCGCACAACTTTACACCATTCATAGCAATAAAGCAAGTAAGTATTATTAACAAATGTTGAATACATTTTATTGAGCTTTTATGCTAATTCAAAATTTCAATCATAGGAACAACCTTTGAGAACCCACAAATGAACGCAAATAATTAAAAGACATCAGCTACACCCGCTGACACTATGGACGAAGAACCCAAACAGAGCACACTGAAACCTGCGCGTATGCGCGAGTCAGTCGAATTTATTCGCTCGCCTCTTGCTCCCAGCACCAGCAGCAATACCGCTTCTATCGAGGCTTTAGCTCCTGCAGATGCCAATGATGGCGATATTCCCATTGACAGACGTTGCCCACTACCACCGGCCACCCACACTCAGCGAGCAGCGGGGCACATCCCACCTGCTAGAAAAAATGTGATATTCCATACTTTTCTGTATATTCTGCGCGCTGCTTTCAATAGAGGAGCCCACAAGTTAAATTCATGGCACGACTTTGCCTTTATACAAGAATTCAACACTGCAATTTTTCCGCAGGAACCGCTGCTAGACGAAATCCCCAAGTACTTGGTGTTTGCTGGTGTCCCTCGCGGTGGTGATCAACTATACGACACGGCTGTGCTGGTCAGCAAACGCTTCAATTCAGCACAGCTGGAAACTGAAGCCAGCTGTAGATGTGCGACTTTTGTCACAGTTTCTGAATTGGGACTGCTGCTTGTCGCAATCTACGGCTCGTTCATAGACGTGCAGGCCTTCCATCAAGATATCATACCAACAGTCGTGCTTTACCAAGATGCAGACTGGACACCGATTATCGCCGGAGACTTCAATCTTGCACCAATGCCAGCAGACCGCCGCACAGACATAGCACATGCTGAAGATGGTCTTATGAGTCTCTACACAGAATCGTTGAATCTGTGCAACGTATGTGAGGTGTTGACAAGACTAAATGATCCGCACTCGACAGTGGACAGGAGCACTTATTTCACATTAAAAATGCAAAGTGAACTAGGCACTCCATATGTGTCGCGAATTGACCATATTTTGGTTCCGCCGCATTTGCTTGATGTGGAACATGCGAAATATGGCCACATGGATGTTAATGATACATTCTCCGATCACAAGGAGATTTCTCTCTACGCACCTCAGACGCCACCAGGCAAGTTCTTTTCCCGTGCGGCATTCCGAATGCCGCACAACTTTCCGTCAGACCTGGTTCACAATGAGAAGATTGAGCAGATTCTCAGCGAGTTCAATTTTACTCTAACAGGACGTGCTGCATTTGAGAAGTACTGCAAGCTAATTCAGGATATTCTGCAATATGCGCGCAATCAGAACAGGCGTCACCAAAACTACTTGGAGCATGAGATCCTCCGGTTGTGCAAGGAGCGTATGCGCCTGGGCAATGAACAAAAAGGCCAGGGTTGGTTGATTCACCAGGACAGGATCCGTGTTTACAAAGAGCAGGCAGTTGCACTTGCTGAAATAGCTGGAATAGATGTTCAGGAGCGAGTAGCTCAGATCTGGTTTAAGAAAGGCGACAGGGACCCGTTCTGGCAGTCACTAATTACAAAGCAACACATGCACCCTGGCATTCAGTAACCTCTAGATGTTTGGTAATTGCCTGCATCTTATAAATTCCATCAGCAATCGCAATCCAGCAAATGATCTTCCAAGTTTTTACCTGCCCAACCTGACTATTCCATGTTACATGCCATGGCAGAATCTTGAGATCTGCATTTAGAATGCTAATTGGTTGGTAATTGTCAACTGAGTTCCGTGCAGCCTTTGACGCTATGTAGAATTATGCTGGAATGCCATTGGGCCCTGCTGCCTTGCGAAGCGCCACCTTGTTGCAGGCATTGATGACATCAATGTGTGCAAAAACCTTTGGCATTGCCCAAATCTCTGCCTTGGTGAGCGCACAGTGCCTAGAATCTATGTTGCGAAACATTGAGTCAACTAGCAACTCTTTACTCAGCCGAAATGGCTCCTCATGCTCATACACTGTCCCCAAGTAATATTCGGCTGTGGCATGCAAGCCATCCACTGATGATAAAGCATATTCTTTTGTGTTCATCTCATGAATCTGCCGCGGTGTGAAACTCGGAATTGTTGGGTTGGGTGGGTAAAAGCTTGTCGAGAGATTATTTGCTGGATTGCGATTGCTGGTTGAATTTATAAGATGCAGGCAATTACCAAACATCTAGAGGTTACTGAACACCAGGGCACAATGGTTTTCCTCAATCAGGCAAAATAATTTGATTGGATATTACATACTACTCTGTTTGCCATTCTTGACGGTATTGGCATCCCATATACTTATGTTGCTGCAATCAAGGTGCTATACAAGATTGCTACTTCGTGTGTCATGGTAAATAGCCAGCCATCAAAAGTGTTCCCGATTTTCTGAGGCATACGGTAGGGTGACACATTGAGCTGTGTCCTATTTGTAATTGTTACTGAGCTTTTGGGTTGTGCAATTCGCGACAAATTGCCAGAGGTGGGAAAATTCGGTATGTTTGGATTTGACTGCAGCCATGTGCTGTACATGGACGATACAGCAGTGATGCTCAATTCAATCAAATACTGGCCAGACTTGAAGCGTGGTCTCGATCTCTACTGTGATGCGACAACAGCGAGCTTCAACAAGGCAAAAACAGAGATTGTGCTCTTTAATCACAATCCTGACGAGATTCTGCATGACTTGCCTGCGACGCCTGTTGCCAGAGGAATGCCAGTTTACTACCTTGGTGCAACAATCGGCTAGGATGTCTCCAAAAACATGTGCCATGTGTTGGGTGAGGAGTTGATTGCCAAGATGGTTACTGTTGAACAACATACTATAAAGCACACAGTGTCATTGAGAATAAATTGTTTATTGCATCATAACATGAGTATTGCCTATTGACTGACTATATCGGATTTGAATTTTCGACAACTGGATTTTAAAGTGCCGCTGCCTATGGCGACGTCATTTTATGTAGAGATTTTTAGAGCACTTTTTGTTTGCTTTGTCTGTTAAACATTGATATTCACAAAAACAATATTAATGAAAATTTTGACTATATATATG